CCTTCTCTTCTACATATTGTCTTTCATTTTCTGCTCACACCATCCTCCTGGACTCGATCTCCTTTTCTCACCTCCCCACCCTGCACCCCCCCTCCCAGCTGGCTCAGCTCAGCTCAGCTCAGCTCAGCTGGCTATCTGTCTGAAAATCGTCATTTCAAGAACGTGCTAGATTTTTTGCACCAAAAGGAAAAGCATATTTTCAGTTGATTTCTGCATTTGTGTAAATAGGCCTATATGTGCCTCTGGCTGAAGCTTTTAAGTTGTTATGATAACCTGCTAGATTTTCTTTCTCATTGAAGGATCCAGGTACTTAAAAATGCAGGAAAGCACATTTTGAACAGGCACTTCATTAAAATACAAAATGCATAAAAACAGAAATACACAAAGGGGCCTTGAACTATGATACTAGATGTCTAAATGAAAAACTAAAGTGGAAATTCAAATTGTAGGCTGAATGTTTTTGGCTGTTTGAAGCCTGAATTGATATAAATGAGAGATAATTTTCAGTTTATTTACAGGCATATTGCATAGTGGGGGGTGGTGTGTGATTATGTGGATTAACAGCCTCTACTGGTGATCAGAAGGTTGTTGGTTCAAATCCTTCGCCTAGCAGAGTGATTTTCCCAGTGTGCCCTGGAGCAAGGCCCTGAACCCAACATTGCTCCAGGAATACTGTCTCACCCTCAAATGTATGTTGTGTTAAACAAGTGTCTAACAAAATAAATGAGGGTGGACTTATTTTATGAAATACTCACTAGTTTGAGTACTTTTTAAACAGCCAACTCTTTTTGCTCTTACTTCAGTGGTTTTTAGGAAAGGTGCTTTACTCAAAGTACATTTTTTGGAAGTGAGTTGGCCACTAATTAAATAAAGCATTATCCATAATCTCGCGATCGAGGTGCGTTTTCTTTTACAAACATCAAACTCATGCTATGGGATTTTGGTTCTAGCCTTTGAGAATGAAGCATTCTGATTAAATTCAACGGCATTAGAAATGTAATTCTAGCCTACAGTAACAACTAATAAATGGATAATTGTTTAAACTGGACAAACCATTATTTGTTTATCAGCATTTATATCTCAGTCAGCCTGTATAATTGATCATACGCGCCTTTTCATCATATGAACTCTTAACCTTAGAATATCCAGTGCTCAGCTGACTTTATAGCTAGGAGCAAATTTAACAGAAATTCCGCTGAGAGGCCAATGGGAAGTGAGATCAGTGTCACGAAGTTAATGGAAATTCTTTTTTTTTTAAAAACTAAGCAACAAGCCACAAACTACATTCCACAAATGTACCTATTACTTTACAGCATGACCGATAAATCTCAAGCAATTTAAGAATTAATAATCGTTAATATACAGCAGTATCTATGGGTTAATTATGTTTGTTTGTACGAATTAATTCAGCGCTATTAGTTATAACTGAAATAAAATAAAGTCATTTAATACAGGCACATAATTACCGAATGATTAATGTGTCTCAATAAGCTGACAATCCGATTTCGTATTACTTTCTCTCTTTTTGTTTGGCCGCGTCATTTCTGAATCCTGGTTTGCATAAAATGTAATATTTGGTGCCGTTATTTATTGGTATCACCGCTTAATAACAACCTTTTAAATGTATTCTATCGTCTATAAAATGTTAGTCTTCTTATATAGCCTATATAATTTTATCATGCAGAATTTATCAGCCCCTGTCGCCTACACATTCGTTGGCGACTATTCCAGAGGAATGTTTTAACCAAATATTGATGAAATTGTACTAATTGTCGTGTTGTCATGGCGTCATATTTACGCCGAGCTCAGCGAAGGTCTGTTTGCTTATTTTAGTTTTATGTAAATTGTTCCGGCGTTGGGATTAGCCTCTGCTCTTTGTGGCCCTCTGTCGGTGACACAGCCTGTGCATGATCAATTGCACATGGTATTAAAATCCGATTTTAAAATTTTCTTTTTCTTTCAGAAATAATCTGTATTGTAACAATAGTTTACGTGGTGGAGACGAATAAGTGTTCCTTTGTAACGCATCGCTTGACAAGAATGATACAATTTAATCACAAATTTAATTATTTTAATCACAGCTACTTTGATAGATGTGGCCGCGATAACATAAAAGGAATCAAATTTCCCAATGAAACTTTATTATTTTTCATTTAAAATTGCACTGCTTTTAAAATTTGAAACTGATCGCTTCAGTAATGCCAAGCGATCTGTGACCAACGAAGTGTAACAGCCGTGACATTATTATGTTATTAATGCTGCGTCAATCAAAATTAGGCTACTATAAAACATTTAATAAGTATCCGAAATCCGATGCAGGGTAGGCTACTTTTAATTTCATAGCCAAATGTGTTTTTTCAACCGTTAAACGTGTAATTGTATATTTCCTTGTTTCAATAGGCTAACTAGTGGTACGTTTTAAGACGTTTAATTATTATAGTCGTTACGCTATAAAGTTTTAATTTGAAATCATTGAATTCATTAGTACCAGCAGTGCTCTGCACAAGTTTTAGGGTGGTTTTAATGTCCCAGAAAGTCATCTAATTGATATTCCTGAAATGTCACATAGTAGCAAGAGCGGAGATAAGGAGGCGAGTTGTCACAGAGCAATTTATTCAGTGACAACAGCGTAATGGTGAGAAATACTGGTACAGAAAATAATAGGCCTATCCCACATTTTTTTACATGAGACAAACACTACGCTGAGCTTACTGCATATTTTATCATTTTGACCAATAAATATTTAAGTATTTGATCAGCAACTGAGTTTTCAAACTCAAAATAAGCGCGTGCTTACATATATACATAATATGTAAAAGTACTGTTTGGTTATTTGTAAAACTGGTTCATATTTATAATGGAGGGATTTATTTAGCTTTACTGTAAATAACTTACCTAATTCATGTCAGTCATAATAGCATGGCAACAAAGTTAGCATGACAGCGTGTTTGGCGCATTAAATTGTCACATTTGAATAGGAGACCCAGTGCGTTGTTTAATACTCCTTGTTGGCCATCTGAAGATATATATGAAATGCATTTAATTATTTCCAACTCGATATTGTCAATGAGTTATTTCAAACACGTCATTGCCATGTGTATTATTGCCCTTTTGATCAATTGACTTTTTAATTAACACAAAGCCTCCAATCGAAACAGGTTTAAGCATATTTCTTTTTTAATGAAAAAATCATACAAATATAGGATATTTAACGGTATTAATTGTTCTATAGTTTTAAATGTTCTCTAATGTGTTGCTTTTCAATACGTTTAAACTATTCAGTGAATTCGCATAGTTTTATTGTTTATATATGTTGGTCATCCAGAATAGCTTGTAGCTTGATGGTTACCTTAAACATGCTTACCCTTTCAAAGCTTCCCCTCACGTGTGACAATGTGTCCCATTATGGGACACGTTGTCGCAAAATACAGTTGTGCATTTATTGTACAATTAAATCAATATGAAATTAGAAATGATCATACAAGGCATATTGAACTGTCCATTAAAGCATTGTCTTTCTTTTAGCATGGTTATGACCATTCAGCAAGGTTGCGTTTTCTACCAATTCTGGAAAAACTCAGATATATGTGTGACAACATGTCTCGGTCTCTCCTACTATATCAGAAAAAGGGTAAAAATGTGTACCAATGATTGTCACTGGTGCTGTACCCTCAAGGATCTACCAATACTCCATAGCTGTAGGTACTTGTACCTTTTAAGGTACAGAAATGGACTCCGAGGAACATTTATATATCATTGATGGTACATTAATGCTGTTTCTACCTTTGGGATGTTCCACAGAGTCCATTTATGTACCTTAAATGCACAAGGGTATAGTCCCAGTGACAAGCAAAGCCTCGTTTTTTTCTGAGTAGCCTATGCCTATAGGCTGTATAGTAAAAACTTGAGAGTCGTTGAAAGTAGACCTTTAACAGGTTGTTCCAGAGCATAAATATTGTTATAAAGTGAACACATGGTTAATATGACCCCACTTGTCCGATACCTGAATGGATCTTCTACAGACAAGTAACAGGATCACAAAAACAAACAAGCAATGATAATGCTATACGGACATGCAATTTGTATGTGAGGGTTAGATTCATACCAGCAATGTAGAAACGGCACGCTTCTCTCGTCTTTATTTAACTAACCGTGTGTTTCCACATTAATATCACAGCAGTCTGCGTCTGGGTGGCTGTATACTTACCAAAAGACTGACTGATTTTCACGAACAATGTAATCCAATGGGAATGGTGGTGTTGCCCCAAGAAAACCAAACCCAATTCACCTTCGATTAAACATTCATCATTTGTCAGTAGTACCTTTTTAACATTTTAAAATCACCATAAGTCCTCTTATTTTGAGAAATAGACCTACGCATGGTATGTAAATAAACGCCCTACTAAAGTACCTGGCGCGCCTCGGTCACAGGTCCGTTACGAGAATTGTTTAGGCCTATATATGAAAATGAGAAAATGTTAATATATTCATTATTTATAATGCTGTCATACTTGTAATGACCAATGACCATATGCGGGAAAAATGTAATAAAGTTCACCTGTGTGCTATATGCTGTCGTTTAAAGCATGCTTCTAATACAAGGACCTTGTCAAATAACAGCGTATCCTCGTAAAATTGCTATTGTATATAAGCAGCATTTAAAACGACACGAGAAATGACATTTACACGAACATACGAAGACCCTTGTCTAACACACACACACACACAGACACACACACACACACACACACACACACACACACAAAGGCTACAATTTCTGAAGCTCAAGTTAAATCTTTACTGAAGGCCGGTAAAAACATGCTGCTGACAGAGGCGGCCGCCTAGGGCGCTATCGTCTGAGGGGGCGCCGACCTAGCAAACCAACAAACAAAGCAACAAAGTATGCTGCAGAACAGGATGTAGCATAGAGGACCAGAAAAATGTAAAGACAGACAACGTACTTAGTTTTATTGAGCTTTGTTATGTGATGGGGTATTTTATATTAGTACTACAGCGTACAACAGGCAGCCTTACTCTTAAAGTACAAATACGAAACGATCGGCAGACAAATATGCATAAGCACTGAGTTAGCAAGTTATTCTTATACAAATGATTTTTACCATTTTAAAGTATTTCAGTTACAACATACTTGCCCCACCGAAGCTTTATCTTGTAGATAAAAAAAAAAAAACACACATTCGCTTTTATAATTAAACACAATCAGTGATTAGAATAAAAAAACAACAACATTTTTTCAATATTTTAAATAAGCTGTACATTCTTTCTCAAGTTTGCTTTGTAATTTAACGAACAGACAAAGCTAAATGAAGCCAGGTAACATCGGTCATCAGTCTTTTTGGCAAAATTAATAAGCAACTAAAACACGCCACAAGCTGTAGAAGACGTTTGAAAAACAGGTCAGATGACGTCATCCAAACCGACCAAGAAAACAAAAGTCATCATGGCCTGAAAATGTCGAACAACCTGATCGTAGGATACAATTATTAAAACAATGTTAATACATAGTAAAACAACTCTCATTATACGTTGTTCAGATAACGAACAGCTCGCGGGATCGTGGTTTGATGTCCATTTGCCTGAAATCGGTCAGAAGGTAAGAGGACAAACTCACCCCCGCGTTGATCACCTTAATACGACCAGCCACTTAAAAAAAAGAGTAAATGTAACACTGATTTCTAGAAGGACAGGGGTACAATACAGCAATACCCGACGCCAAATTTATTGGGCAGTGTTGCAAAGCAAGCCAGTCTCCAAAGAGAATGTAACCGATGGCTTCCTGTTATTAAAACCAATTATGACTTACGATGAATCACTGACGTATTAAAAAAAACTGCGCATGAATGGCTTCATAGTTTAAACCCATTCTGAAATAATCGCTTTTCAGAAAATAAAATAAAAATCGGAAGGAAAAAGGCACGCCTTTTGCACAGTGTAACGCATACATTAAAAACACAGTATAAAACATTTGATCTTTTATTGGACCCTGTACTCTAAAGAGAACACGTCAAGCGTGCCAATACTGTGGCTTGCGGAAATTAATAAGCAAATGCATTTGCATTATAAAAACAAGATGAAATGTGGATACAAGCAACATACAGTACTTAGGGGTTGGGACAAGTTAATACAATGACATCCTTCATTTTAGCAGAACCTTTGAGCTCACACTACAAGGTACTTTAAAAATTCTTGCATATCTTTTTTTTTGTTTGTTTTTGATTAAAAAGTAATGTAAAAATATATCCGTATTTATAATCTATATATCTACACGAACATACCTACCACGTGGAAGCTCCCGAACAGGGTTAAGGATACGGCATATTTAACTCGTAGCCTGTTACTGGTCGTCTTGCACGATCGCAAAAATATTTGTATAACAGATTGCTGTTAAAAGTTCCCTTCATAAATGATAACTAGGGTGCATAAAAGGTTTGTGACTTTTTTCATGTGCAAAATATACAAATTGCGGGTTTGTTTTCATTTTCAGTCTTTCCCCCTCAAAGTTCAGGGCCAATATGTCCTTGAAATGATCACTGGACAATTAAATTAATAATAAATCAATTAGTAATCGATTAAGGCCCTAGGTCAAACATATAAAACATGAGGCCTCTAAACTGTTCAATGTATGGTAAAATACTTTATATATAAAACTCAAAACAAAGCCAGATGTAAAATGAAGTTGGCCGGGTGGGATTGTACTTGTGCAACACACACACACACACACAGGGTAAACATATCCTTATGGGGACCGCTCATTCATTTCAATGGGAAAAATGCTAACGCTAACTATGACAACCTTAACCCCTACCCTGCCCTAACCATAACCATAAGTAACCAAACAAAATACAAGAGTTTTTGCATTTTTAGTTTTTTCATAGCAGTCACCGATTTTTATAGAATAGAGTATTCCCTTATGGGGACCAGGAAACCGGTCCCCATAAGGGAAAAAAAAACGGATATTTATCATGTTATGGGGACATTGTGTCCCCATAAGGATAGGTAAACCCGCTCACACACACACACACACACACACAAAAGCAAAGTGTTCATTCAGTCTGCAGAGAGCAAGAGGGCTCCATGCTGTAACACCAGAAGAAAGAGTTTCTCTGTCTTGTGGGGGTAGGGCTACAAATTCAGTCATCTTGCTGAATGCCATTTATCATAGCGTACAAAAGAGAGAGAGAGAGATGTATTCTGTCTTGATTCTACCAGAGTAAACATCTTTCTCACAGTGGTCCAGAGCAAGTTATCCCAAAGTGCTACAGATTCTGCCTGCGGGACCTCTGGTCATCCCAGCGACGCAGACCACCGGGAACGAGCGGGAGCTATGCGAAGCCACTGGAAGTGGGTTAAGGACTTTTTTGTAGACGTTTCACCACCAGAGACCACACACTGTCACCCAGTAAGCATGGCTTGATATTACAGCACTAGTGCAGGAGAGGAGAGCATCACAGGAACATCGTGGTTATGCGGGTCGGAGGTCCCCTCCTTACTGACCACTACAATGTCACCAACATTATGTTTCCCTGTCCAGTTCCCCCTAAAAATCCTGGTACCTGCCTACACTCCTCCTCTACCACCCTCCAATCTCTTATTTCACTGCTGAAGCAGAACAAACGTAACAGAATTCACACACAGCCGGGATACTGGAGAAAATAATGAACGAACACCAACATGGGGGGGGGGCAAATACTGCTTCCAATCCCAGAAAAAAAAAATGTAAACAAATGACGACTGAAGTCGGCGAGAGAGAAAATCCCCCAACTGGTGAACTGTTTGTGCATTTACTAGATATCCCAGGCCAGCCGCCCCACCCCCCCAACCCTGCCCTCATCGCCGAGGCTACGAAAGGATTGTGGTGATGAAGTCGTAGAATCTCTTGGAGTACTGCTCTGGGTTGACCGTGGAGATCTCAGCCCCTGCCTGTACAAGGGAAATAAGGGGTTAAGTAACATGCAGCATGTGATTTTTACATGGGGAGGGGGGACTGACAGAAACTTGAACCCACAGCGTGCAAGCTGAGCTCCGAACACCTGCGAAGCAGGACAGTGTTTCTACCGACACGTACCAGGGAAGCACAAACAGCTCCGCTCGTCTGGCTCATTCATCAATGTTTCACGCATTTATCATTGTAATAAGCTCTATATGTTATACTCGCCCCGTGCTTGACCGTCTTGGCCGCATGCGCCGCCTTCTTCTTCGCGTCATAGTGCGTCAAGATGTCGATGATCCCCATGAAATACACCTCCTTCCTTGGGGCGTCTGCACAAAAAACACGCCACAGATGTTTACAATAAATTATATGACATGGATGTTTAGTTAGGTCAGCATTTAAAATGGTCACTGAATACAACACACATACACGCACACATTCCTCAGCTGTGCTCTCAGTCTCGCACCCGGTACATCTGCTTTTCATGCCACAAAATAATACGACTATATAAATCATGTACCGGGAGAGAGATGGATGATCCACCCCACACAAGTTCCCAATAAACGTTTGGTCCACAGGGACCAGGCTAAATGGACATGAAAGACTATTACAGGGGAGGAGAATGGTTGTCTTGAAGTGGGGGGGGGAAGGAGAAGACATGCTCAAACAGCGATGCCTGTCCCCACCCCCAGCTGCAGCCCTTCCTTTGGCCAAATATCCGTTTCATCTTCCTGTACCCCCCATTCCTTCCTCCCTCCTTCCTCCTGTTAACCCTACATCCATTCCACCTCCAAAGTTGCTAATCCTTCCACCCATCCCATCGCCATCCCACCTGAAACATGTCGTTAGCTGTGCCCAGTGAAGGCCGTGCGCGATGCACGTTGCGATTCCGTTAGAAGCATCGCGTCTGTACAGTTACACGGCGGTCAGACTCACTATCATGGCTCCTCAGCGCGTAAACGTCGATGTTGGGGTCGAACTCCCCAGTGCCGAACACCCTGTTGTTGTCTAGGGTGTTGCTGGGGCTGTCCGGGGGGGTGCTGACGAGCCCGCCGTCGCTCTCCCCCTCCTCCTCCCCATCGTTGTCCTCGATCTCCACCTCCTCCTGTTCTGCCCGCTCTATGTCATGGATGCCCACCAGGAGACTGTAGTCCATCAGCTTCAGCTGGGCCAGGAACTGAGGAAGGGAAATCAGCGCCAAGTAAACTGTGATGTAACTACACACGTAATCAAACGAGTACACCCTCATGTCATTTGCGCATTGTTTTTCTCAAAAGTAACTGACGTGCACCAACATGGCTACATCTGCACCTTGTTAGATTGAGGACCAACGGGACGGAGGCAGCTGCCAGCCTCCCAAAAGCAGCCAGACATTTGCCCTTCCAGAGGTTGGAGGCTTCTGCAGAGTTACAGGCTGCTGCACACCAACAGAAACAGAAACGGAAACTCCTTCTCCCGTTTGCTTGCATCCTGCTCACCCCGGTGCAACAGCTCATACAAATATCCGATATGGGGGGGTCCCTAAATTCTACATAAGCCCCACCTATCCCCGGATGCCACATTCACCTCCACATCCCTTTTCAGCTTCTCCAAGAACATCTTCTTGCTGTTTTCGTCGACGTACACCTTCTGTCCGTCGTTGATGAAGTCATTGTCTTTGTATGTCGGGAGATCTTTGGCCTAAAAGTAACGGAAGGCTGTCAAATTTAAATTCCTTCCACAATGGACAGCTGTACGGCTTCTCTGAAATCTATATTCTATGTTCTCTTTAATATGTATAATACACAAGCTGTTTAACACTTGTAAAGTGTACATGTCTTGCTGTACCTTGCATGACCATAGAGGGTGCTGTGGAGCTACTTAACTGCAGTTCGTCTTGACCCTTGTTCAGTGATGTCACTGGACAACGTGGGATTATGCTTTACGGGCATGTAGAACTCTGAAAAGTGTTCAGTTTGCACTTACTCTGGTGATGGGAGCATACAGACTAACCCCGGGACCTTCATCTGACGGCCACACACGCACAGACAGGATGTTTTACAAGACCACAACAAATTCGAAACCTAACACAGGAAAACCATGTTTACTGCTCTCAGTATAAGACATCTTTCCTCTTTAATCTGTCATAAATAAGACTTTGCTATGATTTCTAATACAAGCTACAATGACTCATCCAGCACCTGGTGTTGGTCAGCGATTTCCGGGACGTACTGATGACGTACTGATGACACTAATCTATCCATTTACACACACATTCATCCCGCTTTCTGGTCATGTCAGGATTGCTGTCACCTGTGGGAAATGGTGCGGGGCTTAAGGAGACTTTGCTATTCCTGTGTGACAAACATCCCCGATCACTACCAACAACTAAGTTTTTTTTTTCCCCACACCTTATGCGAGCTGAAGATTTTTTTATGGTTTCACCATCACCACACATCTGTGGTTACACTGAGTGATTATTAATTTAAATGCTTCTGAAGTGAATGAGCAGTTCTTACAGCTGGACACATCCAGAAGGTGAACTCTGCACTGCCACAGCTTATACAAGATAGCATAAATGTGATTAATTCAGAGACATACAGACCAAATGGAAAAATGTAAATGCTTGCGAAATATCAGTTAAATCTAACATAATAATCCTTTTTTCACTAAAAAAACTGACTGTGGGTTATTTAAATTATGCATAATCACATTAAGAACAATTAAAAATGTGTGGGATGAACAAAATGGGATTCCGGGGTATGTATCACAAAGTCGAATTTTTGGTTTAGTAAGATTTAAGGGTTTAAGGTAGTCTGGGGTAAATCTAAGTGAACGAAGATAAAGTCCATTTACACTGGGGTAGCGAGGACACAGGAGGGGCATTTCTTAGATGGCTACCTGTGAAAGTGTTCCGATGACAGATACCAATGCGGAAAGTTCTGCAATCACATACCAAGCTACAGTTTCTAATCCAAAGATGGCAAGTCTGAGGAAATCCTCACCTTCGTGACACTGAAAAATCGAGATACCAACGCTGCAATCTAAACCCTTCTGCAATGTCTGGTACCACTTTGTAAGTTTAGACAGTGTTTAGAATTTTTTTTTCCTACTTGAATATCAGTCGCATCAGACCTCGAAATGGAGACTCATTTATGCAGAATGGCGAATACTACCCTTCTGAAGCTTGCACGAGTGCATGACTTAAACAGGTGAAAAAATATGAACATATAAACAAAAATTACAATTCAGGGCAATCGGCCAAACGTTTCCTAAATATCTTATGAGGGAAAAGAGAAGCTCCCCCAGGGTGTAACTGTGCCATTGCAAAGGGACCAAGGAACTAGTGCAATAATTAGGAAAGTGCTGAGCCAAACAGGCTGGTGCAGAATGTAGGTCACCAAGGAGACCAAGCACATGTGGGGGGGGGGGGTAAACCATCATAAGCCCAGAATACAAGCTCTGGGGAAAAAAATAAGACACCACTCTATATATATTTTTTTAAATCTGCATTTTAAATCCTGGTTTAATCGTGGTTCTGCTGGCAGAAGGCGGCAGGTTGCTTCCAGGTTCAAAATTTCTAAGACAGCAGTACACAATAACAAGGTGAAGCAGGAGACACTGGGAACGACCAGAAACCAGCCAGGAAAAAGGGCAGGAGCGACTTTGTAATGCCGGAGATGACTGTTAACTTATCTGACAGTTTCTCGTGAATCATAGGATGACATCAAGTGACCTTCAAAAGCAATGGGAAACATTAAGTGCAGGTGTGAAGTGCACTGCTAGGACAGGATTGTATCAGCCTTCTAGAAGCAGGACTGAAGTCCCGTAAAGCAAGGAAGAAGCCCTTCATTAATGAGAAACAGAAGAACCAGGCTGCAGTTTGGAAAAAAAGTATACACAGACACATACCCATAAATTGAGAAATGAGTGAAACAAAAAAAACCTGTATATTAGATATAAAATGGACCCTCTGTCCCCACGTCTAAGCATCAGTAAGCAGTGCAGTTTTCCACACCGCGTACACTTGTGTTAAGTTCCGTTCTTTTCTTTTTTTTACAGTTCCTTAAGGTCATTCTTTCATATCGCAGCGATTTCACACAGCGCACCTGGCATTTCTTCAACCCGCTGAACTTCAGAAAAGCCTGCATCAATATTGCCAGCCCACTCGCATAACAGAAAGTCAGAGAGCAGCCAGAAGGGTCTAAGATTTTATTAAACATCCAGTCATATTAAAAAGGTCAGGGCCACCTGGAACGTCAAGAACGGGGAGTGAAAATGGCACAGAACCCCACACGCTAAGGAGTATTTTAAGATTCCAGTGAGCCTGTCTGCAAGCCTTTGGACCGGGAGGAGGAACCCATACAACATGAGGGAACATGAGAGAACCTGAGGGAACATGAGGGAACCTGCGAGCTCCACACACACAGCAGGGGTGGCATTCAGACTTCAGACAATGGAGAAGTGAGACAAGGATGGTACTGTCAGAGTCACTGTGCCAACAAGTGGAGGAGATAAAGCCTCATTTCAGTGACAATCTGATTCAAATATACAGACGCTCCTCTACTTACGACTGAGTTACGTGCCGAACGGCCGTTCTTAACTTGAAAGTCGTTATTCAAATATAATTTTAAGGGTATACGCAAGAACTAGGATGCTGGGAGTCCGCACGCTACACTGCTGCGCGGTGGGAGTAGCGGCCAGTCGTACTAGGCGGAACTGGCGTGCAGAAAAAAAAATTGATTTTGCGGACAGGAAACGGGAGCCCAAGGAACACAATTTTTACAATCCTCTTCGTTCACATGTCTGAAAGTTCGTAAGTTGGAAGTTCATAAGTAGAGGAACGTTTGTACTTTCTTTTTCTTAACCATACACATCCACACACTACACAGCTGATTAACTTGGTGCCTAAAGACTGTGCTGATCTGAATGCAGCCCAGAAGCTAACAGTTCTTGGGTGACACCGAAGCGTAGTTGTATAGCTATGCTAGTAGAATATCTAACAGAGGAGAGGAACTACTTGTCACAGTCAAATGAAAATGCAAGAATGAGCAACTCAAGTGACACCGAGACTGTGGCTGGGGGACTATTGTGACAACACAACATACACAGAAAACCACAAGACTACCCGAATATGTCAGAGGTTACTAAGTATATTTACCTTCTCCTTGTCACTTGCTTCTCTGGCAACCGTGGAACCCTGAAAAACAAACCAGAAATATCACATTTACGCTACATTTACATTTAAATTTACATATAATTTACATTTATTTAGCAGAGGCTTTTATCCACAGCAACATACTGCTTTTGCATAAACAGTCTCAGACACTCCCTGACGCAACTGAGGGTTAAGGGAGTTGCCCAAGGGCCCAACAGTGACATCACTCTGGCAGCCCTGAGATCTGAACCAGTAACCTTCTTATCACAGACATAGTGTCCTAACCCGAAGAGCCCCACACCTCCCCAATCACCCCACAATAAAAATAAAAAATAAAAATCACAACAGATAATGACTGTAAAGGTTTCCAAGCGAAACAACATAATAATCTGGCAACAGATTACTGACTCTTACCTTCAAGTCATATTTTTTGTAGACTCCCAGTCGGCTGCTGAACACGTTGCGTGTGACGATCATGTAGGTCTCATCCCCATCAACCGTGAGGCGGTACATGCCAAGGAACTGGGGTAGCAACGTGTTGCCGTGGCACTCTACAATGAACTGTGGGATGGTATGGAGCTCATTAGATAGGCTGCTGTTCATGGACGTGACCCAAGTACCACCTTCACCGCCTGCCCTGCTGGAAAGTGGACGTCTCCTGAACCTGTTGAAGCGTTATCATACAATGGGGTTGGAAACGTATTCCTTCCTGCATTCATGCTAGTAGGATTTTGATTCTCTCAGTACATGAGTCAGATATTTACATCTGCTAGATGCTTTGATCCTAAGTGACATAAGCAGAAGAGCAGGATCAGCCAGTCCCTGAAGCAATTGGGGTTAAAGGTCTTGCTAAAGGACCAAAGTGACATCACTCTACCAACCATGGGATTCGAACTGGTGACCTTCTGATCACGGGCACGAGTCATAACCCATATAGCCACTCAGGTATGACACATCAACACTTCTAAGAAATGAGGCCTTCTTACACCCACAGCTGTGACGGCAACATTAAAAACACGCTTCCTCTATCAACGTGACCCTCAGGCATCGCCTGAAAGCATCGTTGATGCGCGTGCCTCGTTTCAACAGTCATCTTCAGAAGACCTTCCCATGCAGGACTCCACCGGAACCAAACTAACTTTGAGGGTAAGAGTGGGACACTGCTGTCCGTGCCCAGGACTTCCTGCATATGGGGAATACGCCACCTGGTGGTACTTCTTGAGGATGTTGTGCATCTCAGCCACGTCCTCGCTGGTGATGGCCTTGATGACGTACCGCTTGTCGTACGTGGTGTGGAAGCGAGCGCCGCTCCGGCCCTGGGCGTCGCTGGGAATGGGCGCGCTCCGTGTCAGGGCGTTCTGTGGGAGGTACATTAGAAATGCGCTGTTGGGTCTGTCTCCACCAAGTCCTTCTCCAAAGGTTCTCCCCCGGTACCAGCTTGGGTTCAAAGACAACCAAGATTTAGACCTCGAAGACAATCCCACCAATCAAAGGTGATGCATGTCAAAAGCTCAGTCACCAATTCGGTAGCAACACACTGGCGACTGAACGTCATGTATCCTATATACCTGAAAATGTAAATAATCGATGTCCAATGCAGTGTGAAATTCAAGGGAGAGGCAGCATGGGATTGGTAGTATTTCAATATACACGAAAGGAAAACAATACTGAACCTTGATTTCAATACAAACCTTACAGTTGTGCACTGAATTACAGGAATTATTTATTAAATATTCTAAGAGGGAGTGAACACAGCAGTAGAATCTTATTATTATATTTGCATTTTCACTCATTTGTGTTAATTTAAAGCGGTTTTGTGGCAGAAGATTGCCACAATGCAAGATTAAAATTATTTTTTTTTTTTTTAAAGAAGTCATCTAATATACAGTAACTGCTTTCAGTGTTCCTGAGGGCGGGGCACCGTGGGCATTGTGTCGGAGCCCCCAGGCTGGTCAGAGCCTGTATCAGTGGGGGCCGACAAAGGTACATGAGCACACCTTGCCCTCACAGAGCGCTAAGCACAACCGCCTTTACCTTGGCAACCAAGCTGGGAGTTTCTAGTTTCTGTTTTTATTATTATTTTGGTAACCAGGCAGCATCAGTGAATCAGCTTCCTGTTGCTATGTTAAGGAGACCCAAAAGCTCGCCGGCAGACTGAAGCAGGTGACTGAACAGGGGCCGCCTGGCCAAGCTCTCCCTCACTGGTGTCAGCATCCGCTGCACGCTGCTTACGCGCCTGATGGGCGTCGCATGCAAAACGCAATTATAAAAAGGCCTCGGCTGCAGCCCCCCAGATGTCCAGACGGCCACTTCCAGCGACTGGGTTTATTAGATGGCACTCAGGGCTCTGGCAGACTGTAGGCGTTACACCCCCTCCGAGGCGAGGAAAGGACAACAGCCCCTGGCATGCAGCCATGTAAACATCTCTAAGTGGCTCCTCTCTGACAGCGCAGCTGAATCTGTTCAAAACATGCAGCCCTACGTCCAGGATGCATTTCATGTAAATGTGCCAAACATGCCAATTTTAATATGCATTTCTTTGTAACATCTCTGGGTTTGAGTCCAAAGCATTTTCTGCTGAATGTCTTCAACGATGCTTTACTGACAAATACAGTAGCAGATATCGGAAAGTCCTATTGGAAAAAAAGTTAAAATAAAGCTGCCGGCCATCACTGATGCTCCATGTTGGCACTGCCTCTTGTGGCCCCTCCTACGGGCAGAAAGTCTGCCTTAATGCACTGGATGTGACTGACAGATGAACCTCAGTGCCACATCGGTGGGGGGATTTGCTCCAAGTTTCACCAGTACAAGAAATTCTAATTTGAGATTATTTCCCTACTTGCCTTTTATAAATGTATCTTGGTCGTCCTCCTGCTGCAGCCGGTTCCCCTTTAACCCTTTTTACAGGGGAAGTCGGTTTATCAGGCTTCTTGCTAATTTGAATTTCAAACGACACTCTGGTGGGTGGGGGCGTGTGCATCCCCAAGCAGGCCGAGGTCAGCTGCCACTCCCCCCCGCCTTCTGTCCCGGTACTGGCCACAGACCCCGACGCCCCCCTCGAGCAAGCAGCTAAGGCCTCCTCAAAACCTGCTTCATATTTCATGTTCCTGCTGACACAAGCGGCTGACCTTCCTCAGTCAATGACCTTTACGCACTTTTATTACGTATACTGTATACCCATTCCCATCTGTCTGCTCCCAAGTGTCCGACAACGACTTATTCCCGATCATCATTTGCGTTCACATCAGCGGTAAGATGCTGTGTTGTGCACGTAACCTACTTTTCTGATATGATGTATGTCTGTGGAGAACATCCGTCTCAGGGTAGGTCATTGTATGCACATTCAGAAGAACTGCTCAAATAAATTTTCATCAACCAGATTGTGTGACAATGACAGTCCATTCAATTCAATTTAATTTCCACTAAGGCATCAGAATAAGGTCCCAGTGTCTGCCCAGAGGAAGCCTTAAAGGGTACTTTCTGTATCTGTATCTGTGTCACAACATGTTCAGCACTGATAGCACACATCAGGGAGGGGCATGCCTCAGCAGTCTGCACCACCATGTCACACCTCCAGGGTTGTGGGTTTGATTCTCATCCCCGGCTATACTTACAGTTTGCAAGTTCACCCTGTGTTTGTGGGGGAGATCTTCTGGATACTACAGGTTTACTCCCAGTAAAAAAAACAAAAACAAACCATGTGGTTCAGGCGAACTGATGTCTCTGAAGTGCAGACGTGAACTGTGAACATGTTCTCTCTGCAATAGACTAGTGTCCAAAAACGTGTCCCTCCCCCTTTGTGTAAGTGAAAAAAGGAAGCATTCAGTTACTAAAAGAACAGACATGATGTACTAGCACGATTAAAATTCAATTTAATGTGAGCAAGGGGCTGAACAAATTCCTTCATGGTTAATCTAACGCCGGCAGACACCTGTTTTGGCTCCGTGGCCGGCGGGCGAGGCCCAGTGCCCGGGTGAGGCCCAGTGCCCGGGTGAGGCCCAGTGCCCGGGCGAGGCCCAGTGCCGGGCGCAGTGCCTTCATCTGAGCCCAAGGCAACAGGCCCCGGCTTCAAAGCCGCGGCGATAGCGTAATAATCCTACAGGACGCGGCCGCAGGCGCATGAGCCGAACGGTCGGAAGGCTAATCCAGCTCTTTGCAGACAGTGGAGCAGTTTTGCGGGAAGGGAAAGGTGTTGCTTTTGGTGCGACTCGGCTAATACGGCCTTTCTCAAGGTGTCTAAACATAAGCGTCTAAACTAAGCCTCCTCTGCTAGCCTGATGCCTCTCTATATCCCCGGAATGTTCTTCATGTTGCACTTCTCATTACTGAATAGTCCTATTAGGTTCTTGCCTTGTTAGAAGTTGCTGAGCAGCTCTTTCTCCAATACTGCTTGCACTTCTACCTGGGCATTCACCGGGAGCTCAGTCTATCCGCACTCTTGCCTAATCAACCCCTTTACAGCACGTATGTTTCTAATGTGCATCACTCTGGAGAAAAAGTGTGTTAAATAAACGTAAATGTAAATGTTAAGCATCTAAGCTAATTTTCGCCAATTATGGCACTGGGGGTCGTCGCTTCCAGTGGCTCGTTGCCGGAACCGAGGTGCAGGAAAGGTTAGATAAAAACACGAGCGAACGTCCTGTCCAATCTTCCATCAACATCCATTAGGAAGTAACAGGTTTACACTATTGTTTTATACACTCAGGTCCCTTTAAAGAATTCAGCTATTTTCCATTCCACTCATCAGCTATTCTGCTTAACTTCAGAGAGAAACATTATTTAAAAAGCACAAACGTTTCTCTTCATTAAATAATACATCACTTGTGTGACAGAAATAGAAGACTGTAGCTACCCTGACGTATGAAACAGCTGACAGGTATTAAATAACTTTTAGTAAAAGCTGTGAGACTTCACAAAGTAGCTAAATTTAACATTATGCTGGGAACTGCAGAAACGCAGGGGCGCTCCACAATACTGATGCTGGAGCCAAGATAAAAGACTTAGTTAATATCAGCTGATTTTGTCACACTAGGGAAATTGTTTTTATGGTAAGAGTGTCCTTTAATACTCAGAAGGGTGTCTTTGCCATTTCAAACTTTTAAAAACTTCTCATACTTTAAAATGATGTTGAATCCAGTTACCCTATTCTATTATTTCATAAAATAAAGCAGAAATCTTTTTTTTTTTTTACAAGTATTTTCATATCACAGAATTTACAGGAAATACTGAATCTTTCATAATCGTTTTTCTGCATTATATGTGACTACTGTGTACTGTGACAGGATTCAGATCAGAAATGTCTCCTAAGAGGGATGTGGCCCAATTATTGGACCCAGAGTGCAGCTCCCACAAGGGACACCATGAGTGTCCTAGGAGGTAAACAGCCCAACAACAGGACTTGTGCTCAGCTGTCCTTCCACACTCACCTGAAAATCTTGGTCGTCAATCAGGAACTTTTCTCTAAGATTACGGAAGACGAGGGGACAGTATTCCTTAAATTTGAAGTGACTAGGCATGTTTTCCCTACAGCAAAGGGGGGAAAAGAAAAAAGTTCCTTTAAATCCAAAAAGAAGTCAGTTGCAGTCATCAGCTGGCAAGCGAACATGGATGGTACAAGGTTACCGGCTACAATCAGCTGGGGGCGGGAGTGCACACAATCAGCTGGGGGCGGGAGTGCACACAATCAGCTGGGGGCGGGAGTGCACACAATCAGCTGGGGGCGGGAGTGCACACTCACTTGTTGAAGAGGTGGTTGTCCACCCTGATCTTGGCGTAGGCTTTGAAGTCATCTGGCATGAGCATGATGGGGATCTGGATGTGACTCAGCTCGATGATCTGCAGAGCAGGGGGGACGTGTTCATACTTCTGAGGTCAGTCCCAGCACAATGCACACATGTTCTACAACTATTCACAATAGATCATAACCATTTGGAATTCTAACAGAAAATAAGGAGGAAGAATTTTTAAATAATATCATAGATATTTTGGGAAAACACTCCATTCATAAATCCAAATATCTGAAAACAAGTCCTGTAATTTGCATCTCTCATAAGATGATGCATTATTTTACATCTTTAAAATGCATGAAGGAACCTTGCGCTCAAAATCTTTTAAAATATCATTTTGGAATGCATGTCCCACGGCTGAACAGTTTATTTTAAAATTAGTTTATTTTTAAAAGTTTGTTTGAACCTGTTCGCGGCGATGTGCAGGTTAGGCCTCTGGCTTTACGGGAGCTGCACGACAAGCCTGAACTTGAAGACCAGGCTTCTTTACAAAAGCACTCCAGATGTACACGAATCATCATCGTAAAGACCTTTTTAGCATCTAAATCATGCTGAAATATACTGTGGTTTGACTCATGTGTGGTTAAGCTTCCCCCCAACCCCCAAACAAACAGATCTCCAACCAAGAAAGGCTCATCTCCGACATGCAATTTTAACCACTCTGAACAATTTTTGCAGCCAAGTCTGCTTAGCCGACTTTAAAAATATCTCCCGTACACACACTTCTGAATCTTTACTATCGGCAAACATTCTGGGATTCAGACCCAACATTCATACCTCTCTGCTTCAGGAAGGCAGACAGGCGGTTACCTGAGCAACAGGCAATAAGGACTCCCAATGACAGACATCACCACTGATTTCTGAACACTCTGGCACGCGGGATTTTTAGGCTTTTCCGCAGGAAGAGGATAAGTCAGGCCACACAGCCCTGTAATCGAGCTGCCCATGCAAGCCCAGCAAAAATGGAGACAGGACACAAGTCAGGAGAACGGAATGCACATACGTTAGCGCCACATGCAAACCCTGTCTGCTCATAGAGGCATATAGGAGTCCCCTAACCCTCAGGGTCTATGCAAACCAAAAAACAAACAAAAAATATGGGAATATGGCATGAAAACTTACAGACTTGTGTAGATGCATAAAAAGAAAAAATATGTGCAATAAACTGAAGCCGCAGGCATTTGACGATCCATGACGCTTTACTGCAACATAGCCTGAGTGTTTTGTGCAGGTTGGCATCTTTCTACGAATAAGAGAAATGATCTGTCGATTTTCAGAAATTCAGCAGAACCCCAGCATTGTTCTCAAACCATACAAATGTAGACCTGCGCATAGACATAGGGTTGATTTGCATTATTTGATTGTCTCAAGGCCTTTTCCTATAAGGTGAATTACATAGCTAAAATACAGACAAATGCATTAAAACCAGACTTTTGACTGGTACTGTACACGCAGAGGCACTTCGGCGAAGTGTCTCTGTATCGTTATGCTCAGTGGGGGCAATCTCTCAATCTACGCCCCTTTAAAGACAGTGAAACACAAAGAGATGGTATGATCGTCTTTCTGCTCCCACCATCTGGCCAGAGAGAGGCCACAGCAGTAGCTAAATCTCCCTGTGTAGCAGCCACTCAGAGAGGATACAATATCGCTGCCTCTCAGACAGGGGACACGCACACAGAGGGGGGGGAACAGGGTGTCCCAGTGCTCCGAGGCACTGGGCAGATGCGGGACACGTCGGCAGGCAGGGAGCTTCAAGGTCTCGCTTTCTGAATGCGTTTACGCGGCGTGTCCAGTCCTGGCCCCAACCCCATCCGGCTGCGGCCATCTGTCCCTGACGGCAGCCGTGATCCGCGAGTTCGGGAGCAAACGGGGGGAAAAAATATCAAGAGGAGCTTTTCCTCCAGCTATCCAGGGAAAGTCGAATTAAATACCCAGGTGAAAGTGCATTACCTTCACGAGGTGAAAATACCAGGCTGCTCGCAGGCCGAGGAGAAGAAGGAGAACGGGAGGCACCAGTCTAGGCTCCGAAACGACAGCTGTTAGCTTAGCGCACGGGTCAAAGCAGGCCAACGTCGCAATGGCCCACCGTAACCAATGCAAGGACTTACACTTCAAATGCAATCTAATGAAAAAAAAGCATGTCTAAAACCAAACCATTTCTAGATGTTGGTTTTGCACGCAATTGATACACATTTCTTATTTTCCATTTTATCCATCCTTTCATCCTCAATTAACCCATTCAGGGCTGAGCTTGTTGTATATCCCAGGAATCAGTGGGCACAAGGCAGGGGGCACTCTGGATGGCAGGGGTGCAGTAGGGGCACCGATACCCTGGCAGATACAGCGGGCCCAGCACATTACAGGGGACATTGTGTGTGTGTGTGTGTGTGTGTGTGTGTGAGGAATGTTTGCATGAATTGGCCAAAATTCGAGTTCAGGGATTTTTTAAACTAGTACCAGTGAAGAAAAAGATATCTAATTGCTTTTTGTTTGTTTCCTTTTATAGGGTTGGCATGGTGCCGTAGTGGTTAGCACTGTTTCTTCACACCGTGGGGACCTGGGTTTGAGTCCATGCGTGGAGTTTGCATTCAACATGCGTCAGCATGGGGTTTCCCCCACAGTCCAGAAACATACTGAGGTTAATTGGAGTTGATAAATTGCCCATAGGTGTGTGTGTGCCCTGTGATAGGTAGGTGCCCCATCCTGGGCCCCCCAGGTTAGGCTCCAGACCCCCCACAAGATAAGTGAGTACAATGGATGGGTATTTTTTTTTTTTGTATCACATTTCAGTGCTCATTTTTATTTCTTTTCGGAATTCAAGAACCATGGACTCAGGTATGTATTTAAAAACTTTCTTTTGGTTCAAGTTAGTCAAGTGTTAGTAAAATAAACTCTCAATTAAACATAAGAAGCAAATAAAAATCAGTGTAAGTCATGTATTTGCCTGTTTATGGTACAGCAGTGTTTCCCAACCCAGTCCTCAGGGATCCCAGAAAGTCCATGTTTTTGTTTTCTCTCGGCTCCCAACACACCCATGCCAGGTATTCGGAGTTCTTGATTGGTTGGAAGCTGGGAAGGAGAAATAATGTGGACTGTCTGGGGTCCCTGAGGACTGGGTTGGGAAACACTGTGGTACAGGTTCCGGTGTTACGTTGTGAGGACCACGACACATCTGGGGTGTTTCACAATACCAAGAACACAAAGATCATACTTGTGGTCTTGCTAACCTGCCTCCCAAGAACAAACTTGAGCAATGAATCACGAGATTGGCCTCATTTGGCGAGGATGCAACAGATGCATACTTGATATTTGGGGACAGGCAAGAACAATATCTGGGGATTTTTCCCATCCTCTGTACTTCTGTTCTTGAGTACTGGAACTGGTCTTCGCCCACAGTAGATGACACAAAGTGAGTACAGGAGAACACAAGTACGGTCGAGTACACATTTTGAGAAACACCCTTGGTCTTCTGCTAGCACTCACCTCGTCACTGTGGGTGTTTCTCAATGCCAAGAATGCAAAGATCGCACTTGTGGTCTTTGCAAGAGTAGTCTTGTTAACTTGCCTCCCAAGAAAGAACTTGGGACACAGTGAATCATGGGACTGGTCTCATTTGGCGAGGATGAAACCGATGTATCCTCAATATTTGGGGAGGGGCAAGAACGACACCCGCGGATTTTTAGTGTCCCCCGTACTTCTATTCCTGACTATTGGAACTGATCTTTAGCAATGGAAGATGATGTAAAACGGGTAACACAAGAACACAAGTACCGTCAAGTATGCATTGTATTTTTCCCCGAGCCCCGGCTCTGGATCATTAAAGGCTGATTAGCATCTACAGAAGTGTAGCTGTGAGTTAATCCAACCTGGGCTGCAGTCAAATATATTGGTACAAAAATAGTTTAATGTGTCCATGGTTTGCTTTATGTAGATTATGTTCATCTGTGCTCCATATAATGCCTCAACTTACCCACTTACAATGCCTCAACTTGTTAGTAAATGAGACGTACTATCTGTGCTCATCTTCCCCGTGAATGTGCACTGTGATGGCATCACAGGATGTGTCACGGGCCAAATGCAAGCGGTCTGCTGATTTGGCCAGATCTTCCTGAAAATCATTATCCTGCGGTAAATTCGAAAAATTGCAAGAGCGTGCAAATATTGCGGATTGGGCTAGATTTTGCGGTAATTTTCTGCGATTGTAAAACCCCAAACCCTGGAGGGACAGCATAGTGCTCCCCAGCCCTGTGCTACCTCCAGGCCCCCCATGACCCAAACCAGCGAGAAGATGGACTGATATTACAGAAATAAATAACCCCAGATATCAAATCACAGATCCACTTATATACCATAAGGGTTCATTAATTAATAACCTGAAATTCATCCTTCTTCCTACTGCTCATCCTGGACAGGACCCTGGAACAATCCAAGGTAGAGCACAAAATTTCAGACACCTGATTTTTCACCGAATGGCTTTGCTGACACTTTTGGTTCAAATACAGCCCACAGGCAACACACTGTTACATATAAAAATACCCTGATACAAGAGTCTTCATAAAACGCACATAAAATCATCAAAACAATAAACAAATATTCTATAACTGCACTAGAGAAAACACACATCTGCAGTGAGGTTTTCTGTTAGAAATCAGCTTGAGGATAAGGTGCTTGCCATTAATATCAGGACAGATCTGAAACGGGACGGTAAGATGGGGGTGCAGACTCACAGCGCTAGGACACGTGGCCGGAGACGGAGCCATGATCCTGACATTAATCTGCTGATCCCCGGCAAGCGGGCTTGTGTGAGATGGTGGCACTATAAATAGCCTGCTGATTTCATACGGTCTACCAAGACCTTCCTCCTGCTCTTTCGGCCTTACAGAAGCTGCTTGAGGATGTTCCTCCAACCCAGACTCATTTTATTTCAAAGCCTAAATAATTTTTCAATGACGGCCACAGTGGGGTGATGAATGGGAGTCGTAAGGGGTTCATGCAAGGCCCCGGCTAACCCCGCGGTTCATGCAAGGCCCCGGCTAACCCCGCGGTTCA